CGGATTGTGTTTAGTAATTCAGGTCAACCAAATTTGAACATTTTGAATTGCTCTAAAATGATTGGTTGTTTGTATTTCTACCATATTACTAAATAAGGTTATATAATCTGACATTACTATTTAATACCTCATTAAACAACAATAACAATCACTATGATAAATTTATGGCTTTTTAATTTTTCTTGATTAATAATAATAAAACCAAACTAATATAAATTAAAAAAAAAAAGTTTTTTTGATGTTACACAATATTCCTTGATACAGTAAGTAAATGATAAAAATTAAATGTCTATCGCTATTGAAATTTCTCTCAATATGACGAAAATTGATTATGAGAGAATACTGAATCTGTTGATTGAAAACTTGAGGCGGATGAATCTTGAGAATGCATTGATTGTAAAAAATCCGTGAACTGTGTCTGCTGCCTCGGAGTTACAGATCGCCTTCTGAAAGGATTATTATCTATGTTTGTTGAAGTTGATGTAAATGAGGGTTGTATAGTTTGTTGAGATAATTGTGGTTGGAATTGTGCTCCGGAATCAATTGAATCAAAAGGGTTTGAAACATTATTAATAGTTGATGATTGAAAGAATGGATTCTGATAAGGTACAACGGCTTGTGATATAGGAACTGGGTCTTGAACATATATTGACGAACGAAATGGATTTGTATCTTGTATTGTGGATACAGGTTGAGATATTTGTTGACTTAAGTCTTGTCGCATTGGAATCTGATTTTGCATGGCTAAGAAAGGATTAGTAGCAGTATTGCAAGGCAATGAATTCGTTGATAAAGTATTTGTGATCGTATTTTGATAATATTGATTACCAAAGATCACAGTGTGTTCTTGTTCAATGCTTGCAAAAAAATCAATAAAGTCAATTTCTTTGGTTGTATTGATCTTATTACTTGGAGTAGTCAAGGCTGAAGCAGGCAAAGAAGCAGTAGAAACAACTTCTAATTTCAATATTAAAAAAAGTTTTAGCATACAAATTAATTTAATATGATGTTGAATGATTTTTTTTTTTCTCGTTACTTGAATCATTTCCTGGTTTGTTTTCAAAAGGTTTATTATTTACGGGTTTCGTTGGAATCGACTTCTCTTTTGGTGTTTTATATCGTTTTTCCCTTGCACTCTTGAATTGCTCTCTGTTATATTCAAAATCCGGATCGTTGACATAATCTTCTAGGGAGGAAGTCAATGAAATAGGTGCCTAAAAATATAAAAAATGAGAATTAACAAATTATACTTTGAAAGTCAATTATTAATAAGCATGATATTTACATGTTTTAGATTAGGAATATCAATTTCAAGGGAAACTTGTATATTTTTCGCTGCTCCTAGATAATCTACCACTCTTTCAGTCTGTTTAACATATGACTTGTAAATTCGTAATGCATCTTTAGCATCGATTTTCGACATTTCGAAAAATTGTTCTAAAACATTAATGACACTTTCATTTACAGCTTGAAACAAAACCAATAAGTCTTTAACCAAAAGCCTGAAAGCTAATAACGTAATTTCGTTATCCACCTCATCCAAATAAAACTAAATTAATATAAAGTTAATTCTATTTTTTATCGAATATAAAAAAAATTAAATTAAAACATCAATACATGACAAACCTTGCAGTTCAATAAAGCTGCCAATTGACGCTGTAATATTTTAACTTCTCTTAATAATCCTTTAGCAACAGTAAGTTTTCTCAATCGTCCAATACCTTCTTCGCTTGTAGCTTTTATAAAATCAATTTTCAATTCTCGATATACCGCTACTTTTTCTTCAAGGTAAATGGCATAAGAATGTATATTTTTAGTTTGCACTTCACCTATTTAAATTAAATTAATTTGTAATCATAAGATTGCATGCATGTCAATCGTAAAAAATAAGAAAAGAAATTGATACAAACCGTGAGAGCCTGACTTATCTTTAAAACCTGAAACGTTTAGTAAGCCCGGATACCTTATCAACTGGGTTAAAACACGATCATTTCTACCATTTCTCATTAAGATGTGAACGACAATGAGGCTTTTGAAAACGACCTATCTTATAATAAACGTTAACATATATAACAATGATACAAAATATCGATCTTAAAAAGATTTCTTTTTACCGTCCACGAGTGTTCTTTCAATCGATAATCAAGCGACATAAACATTGTCTCTAAAGTATCATCCCTAGCGGTGGCTGGAATCAACACTATGAATGTTCATTTGGAAAAAAATTTTTTGATTAAATATAAACGTTCTATTAAATAAATTTTCTCAGAGTTCTCAAGAAGAAATAAGTATATACCGTTTAGGTATTTCTTCTTTGGAGCTGCCCGTTTTTGCTTTGTCGCTCCTCGAATCGCTTTATCCATATTTAGAGACATCGTGGAGATGTTATTTGAAAATTAAGGAAAGTCTAATTTAAAAAAAAAAAAAAAATTGGTTTAAGTTTGAATGGTGTTTCTTTAAAAAAAAATGATGATATTTATAGCAACTACGTTACATCTATAAAAGTTGTGTAGCCTACTTATAGTCCTGGATTTGCGAATGTTTTGTTGACGATCTTTTATCACGTGATATACAAGACGCTAAATTTGGAATTAAAACACTCTTTATATGGGTTGATTGCTAGGAAAATTAAGGTTCTGAAAGCTTTTTAACAAATTTTCAATTTTTAATTAAAAATTTCTTAGAATATGATTTCTAAAATCTTCCTATATAATGATTTTAAAAAAAATATAGAAATTTTATTTTAGTTTTAAAAAATAAAACTAGGTTAAAATTTCATATTTTCTAATAAAGTTAAAGAATATATAAGATGTAATAAAAAAAATTGTTTTAATATTATTTTATTTTAAAAAAAAAATATTATTCTTTAAATTGTAAGTATAAAATTATTTATAAAACATTTTAAATATTTTGATATCTAATAATTATAAAAATTAGATTTATTATATTAAAATACATCTAATAATAATATTTTTAAATTTTTAAAATTAATAATTATTAATATATATTAATTTTTCAATTTTCAATTTTTAAAATAACATATATAATAATTATTATAAAAATAAAATTTAGTTTATTGAATTCATCTCATTAAAACTTATTAAATAATAGTATTTTTATATTTTTGAGATTAATAGATAGTAAAATAAAGTATATGAATTTAAAATTTTAATTGTTTTTAATAATAATTTATCATTTATTTATCTTTAAACATTATTAGTTAATTACATTTTTTTAATTTTTACTTAAAAATCATAAAATTGATTAATTTTTAATAATATATTTTAAAATATTATAATATAAATGATTTGCAAAAAAGATCATGTAACATAGTAAAAAAGATTTATCAAATAATTCGTATAATATAAAAGATCTACAAAATTGGCTGAGAAATAATTAACTATAATATTACATAGATTATAAAGAAAAATAAAATCATTAGCTATGATTATATATAATACAAGTCTAAATTTAGTATGCTAAAAAGAGACTTAAAGAAAAAAGAATTAAGAAAAAAATGTAGCAATAATAAAATAATAATTAAAACATTTTTATAAAATAATTTAGTTATTAATTATAAGATTAATAAATAATTAGATAATAATTATCTTAATAAGACATGAATATTAATTATAGATAAAAAAATATTATATAGTTATTTTATAATAAGATAGGAAAATAATGTAGAAATTTTATTATAAATAGTATTATATAAAAGTAACTTTTTGAAAAATGAAATTTTAAGAATATAAACTTTAAGAAATTAAGTCAATAAAATCTTCATATTTTTTTCTCAAATCTTATCTTATTATCTATTTATAATAAATGTCTAAGTTAAAAGTATATAATATTTTTTTCATCTTCAATTAAAAAATTTTAAGTAAAAACTCTTTTAAGTAAATGTAAGTTTAAATTAAACTTAGCTATTATTCAATTGGTTAAATTTTTCAGTCTATCTAATTGATAATTAGATAACAATATTTAAAAATATTAAAAGTGATTTTAATTTATAAATAAAATTACTTACAAATTTGTAGACAAAACAATTAAAAAGATAATTTAAAGTAATAATATTAATAATAAATTATTATATTTTAATTATATTATTAATTTATAATTCTTATAAATTATAATAGTTAAATAGAATATTTAAAGATTAACTTTTTTAAATTTATATAATAAATCAAATAATTAAGATTATACTTTAAGTTTTTATATAATCTTTAAATACTTTCAATATAATCATATAAAATTATAACTTATTATAATAAAATATAATAAAATAATAAAATAAAATAATAATTAAAAAGAAATACACAATTATAAAATAAAAGAAATACTTAATTAATTAAAAGTAAGAAATTCATACAATAATAGATAACTTTAAAATCATATATAAATATTTGAAATTGTTAAATGAAACTTAGAGATTTATAAATTATTT